ATGCTGACACTCCTCAGCGGTCTGTGCATTGGGAATGGAACAGGCTGAGTTATACAGCACAAAGGAAAATCAAACTGGATGTTTGCTTCCACTTTGACCCACAGACACATACTTCCTCAAGAGAAAAGAAACAAGATCTTACTCTACCTTCTCCAAGTGGCCCTCCTGCAGATGTCTGAAGAAGACACCAGGTCCTACTCTTTGAAGCTTGGGACAGGCCTATTGACTGGCTAGAACGCACTGCAAAGCCTGTCATCAGAGTAGTCTCAAGTGCCCAAACATCATGACCAACGGTAGCCCCTTCCAAAGAAACGCCAAAGAGACACAGAAGCCTCCTGACAAGTGATGACGCCAAGAGTACAACAGATCTTCCTGTTGTAAGTGATATCTGTTCTCAATGACACAGCGGCCTTCTCTGTGCCTTTATTACAACAAATGCTATCTATCACAGATTGAATTGGACCACAGTAGGCATGCGCTCTGGCTGTGCACACTGGGGAGACCGGGGCTATGGAGGCTGTTTCATACCTTAGACCAATGATCCTCTGACCTTAGCTAATCTTGCACATGCCTCAAACATGGACATTTTGCCCCACCTCCATCACACACACACCTTTGGCTGTCCTGTCAGTCTCAAGACTTGTCAGCTCCTGGAGGACAGGAAGGTCTCTTCCTGGCCTCCACCCTTATCTCAGCAGAAGCTCAGTAAAAGCTGAATGAAGAACACTGTGAACTCTGGCTTTAATATGCCCAAGGCCTGGGATATCACCAACACTGCAGTCCAACTAGAGTCAAAATCTTGGGCAGTAGCCCAGAGAGAGCTGCTGAAGGCCTGGTGTGCCAAGCAGAGGCTGCCACCCTTGAGGCTGCTGGCACTGTCAGGTCTCACTGCTCAGCCACAGCACTGTGGAGCCAGCCCTCCCTTCTGCCCATGGCTCACAAGCCGGCACGGCCCTCCTCCAAGGGACCACTCGGCTCAGCTGCAAACTACTGGACTTCGATTCCAATGCTTGGCTCTGCCATTAACCAGCTTGACTTTGGACATGAAACTTTCTTTGTTGAGCTTCAGTTTCCCTACAGGTTACATTAGAAGTCAGACCAGAAGGTCTCCTGCAGGAGACCCTCCCATTACTGCAGCTGTTCCCGTGTTCCTCCTGCTTCTTCCCACCACTGCTCCAGCCTGCTCACAATACCACAGCCAGAGGCTGATCCTGGCCCTCAACCTTCCAAATGCTTTCATGGCTTCCTACCTCTCAGAGTGAAGGTCAAGGCCGGAACACCAACCTACGCCCTTCTTATTCTGACCTCTGCCTTCCCGGCTATCGTTCCCTGTGCTCACTCACTCTATCCAGTCAGTCCCACACAGCTTCAGTCTCTCAGTGACCCCACTCCCGAGCCCACCTCAGAAAGTAAGAGCCTCACACATGCTATGCGCAGTCTACCGTTAAGCTGTAGTCCCAGGCCTCTCTTTCCAGCTTGTGGAACTTCCAGCACAACTGTGCTATGGGATTATTATTGGGAGGTGGCAGACATTTTTAAGAGGTGGGGCCTAGAACACTGGGGGCTTGCCTTCAGAGAGGAAAAAGGACTCCATTCCCTTTCTCTTCTTTCATTTCTGCCTTTGAGAAAGGAGTTCTGGTTTGCACATGAAGCACCATGAAGTGGGACCTAGCATACACTGAAAAGCATCAGGAACAACCAGTCATGGACTGGAGCTTCTAAAAAAAAAAAAAAAATCAGCCAACCTTAACCTTTTCTCATGGTAAGTTGATTATTTCAGGTATTTGTCACAGTAACAGAAAGCTGGCTAACACAAAGCACGCTTCTACAGATGATCATGGGCAGCAGAGAGAAAGAAACGCCAGGTAGACTGTACCACCTTGTTGGATATAAAGCGCATCTGCAGGAAGCAGTGCTTTCTCTAAGCAGATAGGACCCCGAGAGAATGAAATGGAGTATCCTTGGGGAGTGCACGCCAGGGGATGGGAGGCCTACAGTCAGAGAAAGCAAGTCCTTGGAGGTTTGTGGCCAAAGTCCATGTTCCGTATACTTCTGGATGCGAGTTAAAGCAGCCATCAGACTGCAGGAATACAGACAGAACAAGCCAGCAGGAACAAATGCAGAGCTGGCCCCACATGGCTTGGACATCAAATCCCACCCAGGTTTTCCACCAGCGTCATGAGGAGAGCAAAGAGCTGAGGACAAGCTCTTGACCATCAGGAGCCTCAGGGTGGTGTTTTTATTCTGTGCCAGTATGCCAGTTAGCCCTTTCCACTTTGTCCTTGCCTGTTCTGGGCTGTGATGTGGTCTAGACCCAAGGGAATAAACTAGCCAACTCTTTCCTGTGGGGACAAGACTGCTCACAAGGAGAAGTGAGAACTGCGGCTCCAGAGGCTCAGCTGCCCAGGTAACAACAGCCTAGGTCCTAACTTCAGCTCAGGTCCAGAGCAAGGTCTGGAGTTTATGCCTGTTACTGCTGTGCTCTGAGGCCCTACCCAGGCCCTCTTCCTCTGGAGGAGACAGTGACCTTGCTGAGACCTGTCACAGAGACAATGGCAGGAAGTACCCCACCCAGCCTGAGTCTACACCAGGATGTCGGAAAGAAGCCAAGAAGGCCTGATCCAGGAGACCCTTCTTGGTGCATTCCAACCTCAAGAACACCTAGGTGACGCCAAGGCTAAGTCACTCAAAATGAAGCACGTTCAACTTGCTGAGGACAAATGGTTTCCCCAGCTGAGACCCTCTTTAGAGCAGACTCTCTATAATGCCCTGTCTTTGGTCTAGGAGAATGCAGAAGATACCAGGTTGCTGAGAAACAAGCCAGTTGTCCTGCCCGGCCCTCCAGCCCACCACCCTTCTGGAAGGAAAGAGCTCAGAGTTCCTTTGGAGAAAGAAGCTTCTCTAAAAATAAACTCTGTTTGTTGGGCCCTTCCTTCCTCGCCCTGGCAGAGAACAGGGGAGCATTCCTGTTCACAGCACCTCTGACAGGGCTGCTCTCCACCTAGAGACTTGCTCTCTGCTCAGTGTTCTGTGCCCATCATGTGACTACAAACTCCCAGGACAGCTCAGAGGCCCAGTGTGAGCAAATGTAATTGTCCCATTCAGGCCTGTTGTTCTTCAGATCTGGGTTTGCAGGACAGGCTGAGGGAGCAGGAGAGGTAAAGAGTCTCACCCATTAAAGGGCCCTCAGCCTGATGGCACACAGACACACAAATGCTTCGGAGCTTACAGTGACAACAGTATTATCAGAGGTATGGCAGTATGCTGGGACAATATGAAAAGGAGGGATGGGTTAGTATGGGCTGGGGGCTTACAAGGAAGTACTTGAAATAGGCTCAGAAAAGAAGATATGAAGTTGGCAAACAAGTGGGTAGAGGAGACGTCAGGACATGGGTACAGCCCAGAATGCACCAGGAGGCAAACTGCTCACACAGGACCTCTGCCTGCTTTGTTCACACTGCATCCCTGGCACCTGGAATAGTAGTAACCCCTCTTCTGCGTTTACAGGCTGGCACAACGTGTAATGTACACCAAGGACTTGATAAACGCTTGCAGGGTACGGGAGTGACGCAGGGAAACACTGAGGACCCGGGGTGAGATGGACAGGCTGTGAGGCTGTCACCTCTGCAAACTTACTCATGGCAGCTGCTAAGCAGGAAAGAACCCCTTCCTGTGAGAAAGGAAACAGGAAGTAGAGGCCCCAAGCCAAAGCAGAGGCAGGGTCTCTCTGAGCACCAGGGGATGACATCAACATTCAGGTTCTGTGGGGCAGGGTTCTCTGGGGACTCTGCCTCATGTTGGAGGCCAACTCTACTAGCACATGGCAACCAAGGGGCTCAGACCTGACCACAGAAGCCATGGGCGGGGGCTGTGTGCTCTGAAGTCACTGTTTCCATAGCTCCTCCTGTACAGAGACACCTTAGAAAGTGAAGTAAAAACAAAACAAAGAAAACAAAAAACATAGCATACCACACTCTCCTTAGCACTTGGAGGCCTTTTCTTGGCAAGTGAAGAAAATGAGCAATTAGAGAAAAGAACAGCCCTGGGTGCCAGCCTGCAAGCAGAAGCCAGAGGCAGCCCTGTCAGCCCTGTGCCCTGGGAGTTTTCCAGTGAGGAAGGGGCTCAGAGGGAAGGAACCAAGAGCAAGTCCAGGCTGGACGCAAAGTCCCAGGAATCACATTTGGAAATCTGAATTGTGTGCTCCGGGTCAGAAGTTGGAACAGATCCTAAGCCTGCTGCTGGCCAGCTATGCGACTGAGTCTAACACCTGAGGCTTCGACTCCCTCAAGATGGTGGTCCAGTGGCCACATGGAGGCTGGGACCAGTAAGCCTCTCTCCCCTCACAGCTGTCTTCCCTAGAAGGAATGTGCAGCAGCTGCAGTCCCAAAGCTCAAGCCTTCTGACGAGTGTCCAGAACGCAGAGTCCGTGGGAAGTCAGGGAGGAGGGCAAAGTTAGCTCACCACCTGGACAATCCACTAGAGGCTCAAGCAGGAGGTCAGAGGAGACGCTGTCTATGAAACGAACCGGACAAGGGGCAGAGAGGGTTCAGAAGGACAGAGCCTGAGAGAACACATGGACACCAGTTTCTGGGTTCCTGCTGCAGCTTGTGGGCAACAGGGTAAGCAAGCAGCCCAGTCTTGGTTCTCCACAGAGGCCAGAAGGTCACTGGGGTCCCAGATCCCAGAAAGACGGTCCCTACAATCAAAACTCCTACTTTGCCCCCTGTCTGTCATCTGGAGCAGAGAGCCCAGATAGAACCTTGAGAACAAATAGCAAAGAACCCCTTGGTGTGCTCTGTATGGATGTGGGGGATGACAGCTGTTTCCAGAGACAGAATACCTTCCTAATCAATGAAGTTATTTGCACTTAATCAATGGGTGGCTGTCTACCACAGCAATCAGACAGGTTTTTAAGGGAAGAAAGAAATGGCAAAGGTTCACAGTCCACGGACTTGAAAGGCTGGCAGGAAAGCGGGCACGGCCCAACAGCTGGTCTTTACCTGTAGATGTAAGCAGCTCTGTCAATGTCTCCACCATAGGAGGAATGAGCAGTGTGTCCACAGAAGGGAGTCAGGAACCAGGACACGCGTGCCAGCATCCTGCAGGGAAAACCCGAAGGTAGAGGAGATGAGCCGTCTGAGTTCCTCATCCCACTCTGCCAACCAGTAAGGAGACTGGCAGAGCCACCTCAGCCTGAGCAATATCAGACTCAAAGCCTTAGTGGAGCAAGGGGGCCGAAGGGTGTGGACGACAGGAAGGTATCCATTTTACAAAGCCTGATGTATGCGTTCAGGGAAGGGGCGCTATCTCAGAACCAGGGATGGATATGCCTGCTAACCGCTCACTCCCAGAAAAACTACACAGGAAGTGAGGCTGATGACCCCACACAGGTGCCTGCTTCTACATGACCAGGTCTCTTGGCTTCCAGCCTAATGGTTTCGCTCAGGACCCTGTTAGGATTAGAGGGCATAGTGTTGAGGGTGAGGTAAGGACAACTGGAAAACTAGCAAAGCAGGAAGGAGTCGAGAGACACTTGGCTGGACACTTGGTTGGAAGATGCAGGCAGCCTCCAGTCTTGCCACTGAGCCTCTAACTTCCTTCATCTAGACACAGAAGAAACAGATACCCACTTCTGTCAAGTACCCACAGGCCAGAGCTGAGCTCACAAAACAAGATAAGAATGATTAGAGAACTGGGCCAGGGGATGGTGGTGCATGCCTTTAAGCCCAGCACTCTGAAGGTAGAAAGAGGTTTATTTCTGTGAGTTTGAGGCTAGCCTGGTCTATAGAGCAAGTTCCAGGACAGCCAAGGCTACATAGAGAAACCTTGTCTTGAAAAACCAACCAAACAGATAAAAAGATAAAAATAAGAAAGTTAGAGAAATAGGTTTTCATGGAGTCCCAGTCACCCATAAGTACCAAAGAAGCTACACTGCTCAGCCCAGGGCTGTCACAAGAACTGAGACATGCCCAGGTCCACATCACACTTCAACACTAGTCCTTATCTATCAAACACACTTAGGAGCCCATTCCCTGCACCTGTACCTGTGTACTGGAAACAGGCAGCTATCTAGGAACCCCTCCAGTGACATGCCCTGCAGTTCCCCAGCAAGTTACAGACACTGAAATATTCCAGGAACCAGTGACCAAGTTCAGGCCAGTCTCACGTCAAAGGCTGAGGCCAGGCACCAGGACCAGTAAGACACTAGTTGTGGGTGCACAAGGGTGAGCAGTCCCGACAGACGGAAGTGTAAAACCCAAAGGCTGGTTAATGGAGGATCAGGATGACAAAGTGATCAACTGCCGTGAGCAGCACAGCCAGCAAGAGTCAGAGGAGAGAAAGAGGGAATGGGGCCTTGCCGAGAGCCAGTGATGCAGAGCAGTGGGAGGTGTGGCTGGAGGGAACAGCGGCTCTTCACACGCCGCCCACACGGCTCCTCCTACACCCTAGGGAACACCATGGTGAGGGAGCAAGCAACTTTTGGGGGCTGGCTTTCAGAGACAGCCTCCTTGGCAGTCCTGTCTCTGACCCCTGAGCCAACAGAATACCCCAGATTCTCCATAGCCCAGTGTAGGCCGATGCTCAGGCTGCCCAGTTCCCTCTACATGCGCCTGGTGCCGCAGCTCACCAAGCTCCACGCAACTATACCGTCCCGGTTCTTAAGCTTCCACCGCCACCCCTCTCAAGAGCTACGAGGTCATCATGTAAAGTCCCCACATTGTTGAGCGTTTGTCATGCATGCTAACACCGCCATGGTGGTGAGCCAGTTTTGTCAGGCAAGTCCCTCTATTCTACATGACTCCCCCTGGGTGAAAAGGACAATGGTGACTACCCAGCAGAGACTGAGGGGAAGGAAGCACCCTGGGACAAAAAAAGCAAAGAGGGGTGCAGTGTGACTGACCCCACTGGAGATCTGAGATGCACGCAGCACCAGGTTAAGTAGCAGGCCTCACAGACAATCACTTGTGGTACAGAACTCTGAGTGTTCAGAGCTCTGTCAGAAGGAGACAAAAATATGTCACTGGTCAACCCAAGTTCCCTCCAAAGACCTAGAACACACACAGGGTGAACTGGAGCACCCCCTTGCTGAAATCTGGTGCATGCCTGCTCCACATATGTGTAGCCATGACCCCGGGAGCCCCAGTCAACACTCAAACACAGTGTGTGTGCTATTCCTAGTATCAAGAAGAAAACATTTTGCTACCTTAAGTTTTAAAGTTAAATCTCTAGAATGCCCTTCGAAGACGTGGAGAATTGCAGGGGAAAGGAGACAGTAAACCGAAACCAAACCTGCCTGAGAGACAAGGATGGCAAGAGTCGGAATTGCTTTCCTCAAAAGTTTTCTGAACCCCGGTGCTGTTTCAGTGGAAGGGAATTGGTAAGCGGATCTGTTTCTCTATACGGTTTCCATTAATAGAATATCAGTCTCTCCTCAGCCCCACTAAATAAATGTCAAACAAACACTTAAAGAATACCGGCTTGATGGGGTGCCAAGTAGCTCCCTTGCCCAGACGTCCGCGTGCCTCAAGCTGGCCCCGGCTGGAAGTAGCTACGAGTGGGTAGTGAGACCGAAGCCAGTGCTGCTGTCTCCACCCCCGTTGACATGGAGACTGAGGCAGGTGGCTGCAGAATGGGTAGAGAGGATGGCACACGCGGCAGGTGGCTCCAAAGCAAACCGTCCAGGGCCTTGGAATGCCGCGGGGGGAAGCAGGGTCACTTAATTTTTCAGAATTTACATATACCTTACAATGGCACAAAGCTCACCCTTTGAAAGCATCCAGCCATTATCATCAGTGCTTATTAGTCTATTCACAAGGTGGCACAGCCATCACACTATCTTAATCTGCAACCCTTGTGTCCCGATTTAAAGAAACCCAGTACCCATGAGAGTCACCGCTCAATCACTCTTCCCCACCCCACCCCACCCCACCCCCAGCCCCTGGGGACCACTAATTTGCCTTCTGTCTGTGCTGATTTGCCTGTTTTAGACAGTTTGCATCAGTGTGGTCCTTTCACGTCTGGATTCTTCTTCTAGGGTTGTGTTCTCAGAGACCATGGCATGTGGCAATATGCTATTCTTTTTATGTCTTAAATTTTTTTAAAGATTTATTTTATTTATATAAGGACACTAGCTGTCTTCAGACATACTAGAAGAGGGCGACAGATCCCATTACAGATGGTTGTGAGCCACCCTGTGGTTGCTGGGAATTGAACTCAGGACCTCTGGAAGAGCAGTCAATGCTTTTAACCGCTGAGCCATCATCTCTCCAGCCCAATGTCTTAATTTTTAATGTAATTTTGCGGTGCCTGTGACTGAGCCCAAAGCCTCATCACTGTCAGGGAAACACTCTGCCTCTGAGCCATATTCCCAGCTTCCTTCACTCCATGTTATAATGAACAACATTCTGCTGATTGGGGAGAACACGCTTTCCTTCTCTGTGCATCTGCCATTTGACATCTGGACGGCACTGGCAATTAAGGAACCGCTGCTGTGAGCACTCATGGACAAGTTTTTGTAGGGACCAGTTTCTAATCTTTCTTAATCTTTAAATAAAATATAAAATTAAGTTTGCTCATTTGTTGTTGCACTGGGCATTAAACCTAGAGCCTCATGCACGACAGGCAGATGCTAACCACAGGCTATATCCCCAGGCCAATGTTGGTTACTTAATTTACACCAAGGAATAAATACAAGGGTACTGGGTGAGCTCTGAGTTCTTCTCTTGCCCCTGAAGAACCTCCTTCCTCTGCCCAGAGGCTGCTTCTGTGATGACAACGCCTGGGAAGAAGCAGGCGAACAAATCAGGCCAGAGAGAGTAAGTATACTACACGGGGCAAAGTATGAGTCCCACATGGGTACTCTAGTCGGGGATGCACTTAGCTTAGAAGCAGTAGGCCAAGCTGCTTGCTCACTCTCCCTCGTCCCCTCTCCCCCACTCTGGGAGATGCTGTAGACAGATGGGCTCTGAAGTCTACCACATCCAGGTTCTAAGGCCTCAGGTGAGGTGCTGAGACTCTCTGGGACTTGGTTTTCTTATCTGAGGGAATGGCCACTAGTACAGACGTCAGGAATCTTCAAGAATAAGTCTGTGGGAACCACCACTTAGCACCTTGCTGGGCACATACTGTAGCTACCTTCACTTCCTCATACACATGGACACACACCAGACCCTGATGTGAGGGCCCAGCACACAGCCACTTCTGGGCAGGGGGTCCAGATAGTCAGGAGGCTGAGCATTACACCCAGTTCCTTAACTGGATGCCCAGTTCCACACATACCATCCCAGTTGTATGCCTACCTCTCACCCCCTTGGGACAGGATCTCAGTATGTAACGCTGGCTAGCCTGGAACTCATTATGTAGATGAAGCTAGCCACTAACTCACAGAACTCATCCTGCTTCTCCCGCCTGAGTGCTGAGATGAAAGGCAGGCACACCATGCCACAGCTCTCTTTTGAGGGCTGAGTCTCTGTGTTCTCCATGAGACTGGTTCCTGGCTTTCCACCATGCCACCTCTACCCCTACCTGAGGCCAGGAAGCAGCTGCCTCTGGAATCTCATGTCTGGGTAGGTTGGCTGAGCATCTCACTGCTCGGCTCTCACAGACAACCGACTCTCCTGTACCCACTCATCCCCAATGCTGCTCTTCCTCAGGCCCAGTGTGCTGCAGGCAGTGGGGACTCTCAAGACCTTCAGAGTGGAGAGCCCTCAGGTGCGCGCAGAAACATGAGCACGGGGCCGCTGGGAACCACGAGGAACTCTTCTCTCAACTGGTAGATGGTGAATGCGGAGCTGAAGCATGATCCCAGGAGCCGGGAAAGCACAGCCAGGGAAAAGCAATGTTTCCTTGAGAGTGCAAGAGTTCATGGGGGAAAAGCCCAGTACACGCACACACACACACACACACACACACAGAGGAACGCATAGCAAAAGAAATAAATTCTTAGCCTGCAGCAGTTGGTAGCATTATGTAAAATCCCAAGCCCACAAAAATATCATTTGGATGATAAAAAGTTAAATTTAGCTAAGTACAGAGTGACTAATACTATGAGGGAGAGGCAGCACCCCCAGCTGCCTGGAGCTGATTCAGCTGGCTTTTAGAAACTTCTGACAAGTAACCAGGGCCCGGTGGAGCACAGAATAACAGATTATGTAATGAGAGGCACAGCCTGCAGCAACACAGAACAGTGCCAGTGGGAGACGGTGGCGTCTTCAGGGGAAGCACTGGGCCCGGCCTGAGAAGAGCCACCAGGACCCTCTGAGAGGGCCGACTCAGAGGCATTCGTCAGCCAGCAGTGCCAGCTTTTGAACAGCTCTGCAAAGACCTTTCCCAGAGTGGTCACGACAGACTGCTACTTGGATAGCCTTCAAGAAGCCAGGACCTTGTGATGTTCCCTTTTTTTTTTTTTTTTGAATGGCCCTTTGACCTGTTGTGACCAGTAGGGTGGGCTGGAAGTAACACTGGGCCAGGTTTGAACCTCCATCTTGAGAAGCCTAACTAAAAACTGAAGGCAGGTACGCAAACAAGTGTGTGTCCACCTAAATTCATGGCAGCACTCTGCCCAACAGCTAGAAGCTGGTCCAGATAAGTAAAATATGGTCATCAATTCAGAGCACATTCATCGTAAAAAGGATTCCTTTAAAAAAGGAATTCAGATACATCCTACAATACCTGAAAATATTCTGCCAACTGAATTAAGCTGATCACAAGAGGATAAATATCATCCATTATAGGAGATAACCAGGGCAGTCAGACAGGCAGAGACAGTCAGGAGAACTGGGGGGTCTCGAGCCCGAAAGGAAGGGAGTAGGGAGGCAGATGTGATGCATGAGTTTTAGTTTCCCATGAGACTGTTCCATGGGGGAATGAGTGCTCAGTAATAAGAACATACTTTAGTCCCACTGTGCCGCACACTTTAGAATAGTTCAGTGCTCAGTTGCATGTTTTATATGCATTACCACAATAGAATAAAAATAAGAAAAGAAGGAGGGAGCAGGAGAGGCAGCTCTGGCCTAGATCCGGCTGACTTTGTGCTCTGGGGGTAGCAACAGCCACTTGGGAAACCAGTTCCCTGAAGGTCACTGAGCTGGGAGAAGCCTGCCCCAGATATAGGAAGCGGATGCATGCAGGGGGCCCCTGCTGGTGCTGCCAAGCACTAGCATGGTCACTCTGTCACAAGAGTTGTGCCACTTGGAAGTGGGGCTTCCAGCTCTAGCTAAGCTGTTACAGCTGACACCAGAGTACAGAGGTGTGACAGTTGCCAAGTCCTGCCCAGATTGCCACCTCAGAAGCAAACACGAGAGGCTAGCGTATGAGAGCTTTGGGCCACTGTTAGGTAGCAACAGACAACTGGCGTGGTGTAGCTGAGGGGTTTGCAGAAAACTCTGTTCCTAACAGGAGACTAGGGTGGACCTTTTGTCCTCTTCAGAACTCATGAGTCACAGAGAGGAGCCCAGGCCTTCGTGAGGCTTGGGAAGAGACTGACTTTCCACGCTCGGCATCCCAGCGGGCTGGGCGCTGGAATGAGGCCGGTGCTGAGGTCTCACAGCTGCACTGAAGCTCAGAGCTCTCTAGTGACCTGGTGGAGCAGCCAGGCCACCCGCTGACTAGCTCCAGTGCTCCGTTGTCCCGTGTTGCACTGTCCAGAGTGGGGACTTGAACATGGTTGAAGTGTGACACTGGTGGGACTTCCTGTGTACACGGGCGGTCCTTAGTGTGGGTCTGGGACTCTGTGTCAATCAGCTCTGTCTGTGCCTCGGTTTCCCCATCTTGTGTGTGTGAATGTGACCCCACTCATTCCCACCTCTCACGGTGCTACAGTTCTAACAGAAGGAAGTGTGGATTCGTGATCCAGAGCCCAAGCTGACTGACTCCAGGTGAGACCTTTCATGTGACTCACTTCATGGAAACCAGATCCAGCTCGATGATAAAAATGAGTGACAACCAAGCTAGGCATGGGGACAAATGTCTGGAATGCTGCTAGCATGTCTGTCTCTCTCTCTCTCTGCCTCTCTCTCTGTCCCTCTGTCTCTCTTCCCCCCCACACACATAAGACTAGGAAGTTGATTGTTACCTATATTGATAATCCAGAGTTCAGACACAGAACAACTGGACACTTGGTAATCATACTAAAAGCACATGTTAGAACCTTTGTCGTGATCTTCACTACTCCCTGGTTCCAAAACACTTATAGCCTATGTTCACTCCATGAGACGACAGCCAACAGGGAAAAGAACATCTGCACCAAGACCCCTAGTTGAGTGAGGGTAATCTGCACACTTAGCTGTGTGCTTCTTGGTAAATAATACAAAGAGGGAACCAAGCTGGCCCCCAGAGCTCGGGCACACTGGAAAGCAGTGGCTCATGAGAAGCAAGCCTTGTGTTGGTGAAGAGCTGAGGGAAATACGGTGCCTCTTAGGGATAGGTGTCTCCTCAGTATCTGGGAAGGAATAGCCAGAGGCCACGCCTGCCTGAAGCCTTCCAGGTGACAGGGGTGGCTTTGCAGCCCTGCCTGACTGGCTCTCAGGAGCTCCTCATAGTTATTCTTCACCCTTGCTAGTGTC